ATTTTGTTATTTTTATTTTTATTTTATGGAAGTTAGTCTAGGAGTAAAATGGGAAGGATTGTAAATATGAAGGGCCAAAGTGAGATGTATTGCAAACATAAAGGACCAAAGTGGGAAAAATCAAACTTAAAGGGCCAAAATGGGAAGGATTGCAAACATGAAGGATCAAAGTGGAAAAAATCAAACTGAAAGGGCCAAAATGGGAAGAATTACAAACATGAAAGGCCAAAGTGAGAAAAATTAAACTTACAGGGTTAAAATGAGAAATGGGTGAAACTTTAAGGGGGCAAAGTGTAATTTACCCTTTTAATTTTGAAAGCTCTAGGAGCTTCAAAACTCCAATCCAATTATGTTGATTTTTTTGTTATTTTTTTATAACCCGTTTGCAACCCACTCTACCCAACTAATCCAACCCAGTTTCTTGATATGCAGATCTTGAAGAGAGACGACCATTTCTTGTGTATTTTCTCCTTCTTTGATAGTAAAACCCCCTGTCTTTCTTCGCCTGTGGACATAGCCTTATATCCTAACCACATATATGTCTGTGTTCTTGTACGATTGCTTGTTTTACTTTCTCATTTTTGTTTGTTCCGTCATAATAGTTCCCCACAAAAAGATAGATGAACTTTGAAGTGGAACATCAAATACTCATTCTAGAAGATATGATCGATGTGGGCTTAAAGGTGGCCCATTGAGCCATACTAGACGAGTCTTGACTACTCTCCAACTGAGAGAAGTTGAAATAGTGCAAATTTCAGGACAATCTCAAGAAAGGTCTCTAAGTGTTCCAAAAGAGGAGATGCATAATTGATCACATTTGAAGTGTTGCATGAATAAGAATACAAGAAATTTTTCAAAGACTCGCCTAAATGGTTGACTCAATCAATTTTTTATTTTTCTTGTTATTTGTTACTTCTATTTTTATTAATGCTTTTTTAAAAAATGCTCTCTATGTCCTATATTTTGATATCTTATTTGTATACATGCCTGCTCCAAAAATATTGGTCAAGGAATTAATTCAAAATTTTGATTAAAATTTATTATGCACATTTTTTTTTTGCCATTATCTACCACCAACACCACTATCATATTCTATACATGCCATTATCTACCACCAACACCACTATCATATTCTATACATGCCATTATCTACCACCAACACCACTATCATATTCTATACATGCCATTATCTACCACCAACACCACTATCATATTCTATACATGCCATTATCTACCACCAACACCACTATCATATTCTATACATGCCATTATCTACCACCAACACCACTATCATATTCTATACATGCCATTATCTACCACCAACACCACTATCATATTCTATACATGCCATTATCTACCACCAACACCACTATCATATTCTATACATGCCATTATCTACCACCAACACCACTATCATATTCTATACATGCCATTATCTACCACCAACACCACTATCATATTCTATACATGCCATTATCTACCACCAACACCACTATCATATTCTATACATGCCATTATCTACCACCAACACCACTATCATATTCTATACATGCCATTATCTACCACCAACACCACTATCATATTCTATACATGCCATTATCTACCACCAACACCACTATCATATTCTATACATGCCATTATCTACCACCAACACCACTATCATATTCTATACATGCCATTATCTACCACCAACACCACTATCATATTCTATACATGCCATTATCTACCACCAACACCACTATCATATTCTATACATGCCATTATCTACCACCAACACCACTATCATATTCTATACATGCCACTATCTACCACCAACACCACTATCATATTATATGCATTAACACAAATTTCCAGCATTCCCGTTTCACATACCGAAACGATCCATGTTCTAGGTGACAGATCTACACTAGTACCCCCTAATTGGATGCCCGCACCCCCTGCTTGGAGTGCCTTGCACCCCCTTATTGGGGTGCCATACAAGGATTACTTTGCAACTCATTGTGATTGCATTTCTTCCTTCGATGCACTCTTGGAGAGATCGCAATATATCGTTAATATAGGAGTAAAAGAAACTTTCTTATTCACTGGGACGTGCTCTGCCGTCTTTGCCTCTTTGCTCTGAGCTTTCTTCAGGATTGATTGCAATGGCTCCATTTTGTGCACCTTTAAACTGCCTCCTTTCGTTCCTGTACACTATGGTTGTCATGTCTTCTGAGCCCTACGTCTTTTTTGTGCATGTCTTGTACTTCTTGCCTTGTGAGTGAGAGTAGCTCCTCCCGTCTACCTTCGCTACAAGTCTATACAAATTTCCCTCTAGTCGTCCATACAGCATCACCGTATCTCCATGGACAACTTTCAGATTTCCATTACTAGATGAGAAGCTGAACCCTTCAAATCTAGCATACTTAGGAAAATTAGATTCTTTCTTAATCTTGGCATGTGTCGAATCCCATCCAACGTGAAAATTTTTCCATCTCTCATTTAGAACCGTACTGTTCCTACTCCAACAATCTTACTCACAGTGTTGTTAGCCACCTGAACAATACCTTCGTCCATCACTTGGTAGGTGGAAGAATATCTTCTCTCCATGCATATATGATATGTTCTACCAGAATGTAAAATTCAATCAGGTTTCATCATACCCGATGAAACTGTGAATGCATACTCTTCCTTAGCGTTCATTACAGCTACAACATTTGATGAGCTCGTCTGTTCCTTACTTGCTTTAACCTCTTTGAGCTTTATACAATCCTTAATGAGGTGATCTTCCTGATCACAATGGTAGCATTTTCTCTTGTAGCCTAGCCTTGATTGTGAACGCCCTCTTGATTTGGATCTACCCCCGTCTCTCATTGGGCTTGTCTCTACCCCGATCATCTTCTGATGCAACCATGGCATTCCCCTCTGAGTGCTTGCTGCTTTCCTTTTTCCTCATCGCCTCATGGGAAATAAGCGTAGCAACCATTTCATCAGAGTAGTCCTGAGTTGCTCATATGATGAAGGTAAAGAGACCAGCAAGTTAATAACCTTACCTTCTTTTTCGATCTTCACCCCGATAGATTCCAACTCCATTGTAAGCCTGTTGAACTCGTTTAGATATTCTGTAAGGTTCGCTCATTCTATCATTTGAAGTGCGTACAATTGCTTCTTCAAAGACAACCGATTTGTCAAGGACTTTGACTTGTATCTCAGTTCCAACTTTGCCCGAAGCTCTGTCGGATCTTCTTCATTGATGACTTCTCAGAGTGTGTTATTCCTGATATATAACTGGATTGTGCTATTTGCCAGTTCTCTCATCTCTGCCCACTTGTCATCCTTTATGTCTGCCGGTTTGTTGGACTTCTTGTTGAGAGTTTTGACCCAGCCTTTTCGTGTTAGAATGTTTTTCACCCTTTATTGTCACAGTGTAAAATCGTTATTTCCATTAAAAGGTTCAATCATGAAACTTGAACTTCTCCCTGCCATTTCGATCTCCTCAAAAACTGTTCAGAATTTGACTATTTTGATTTGTGGTTGTGACCAGAACGGCGTGTTTGGCTAGGAACACACTTCTTTCCTCTTCGGGGGCCAAACTGAAAATAACCCCAAAAATTAGGAGTTAAATTGCAAATTTCTCAAACACTTGAGGCCAATCTGTAATTTCTCAAACTACAGGGCTAAAATGAAAATTTTCAAAAATTTAGTGACTAAATTATAATTTCTGAAAACTTTAGAGACCAAATTGTGATTTTCAAAATTTCTTTGCCTAACCAGTTTGGACCACTCTATTGCTTTGCTGACGTCACCTCCTGCGTCAGTGAACCACCCAATTTCCTTGTTGATGTCACCTCCTGCGTCAGCGTTGTATCAAAAAAATAAAAATAATTAATCTTCAGACGCAGTTGGGGAGATTTGAACTCTTGACCAAGGAGTTAGCACTACCACTCTTAACCACTGAGCCAAATCAACTCTTGTGACTTAAACTTCTTCGATGAATATTTAAATCATCAAGTTTGGCGACAAATGGTCGTCTTCAAGCTTTAGATGTGTGTGTGGCATGTGTATGTGCATGGCCTTTACTCTCTGACTTCCATAAACGTGTATGAGCACGTCCCAGATCCTCTTGGACTCTTCTTTGTAGGTCTGGATTCCTCTCGTTGAGACAGTTCTCTTGGTATGCTCAAAACTCGATTTTGAGCAATTGATTTCTTGCAGTTTCGAAAAATAGAGTACCGAGCCTCTGTTTTTCCACCTTTGCTCAACTTGAGCTCTAATACCAATTGTTGCCTAAACTACCAGAAATAAAATACACAATAATGAAACACAAGATTTACATGGTTCGATCTCAATGCATATGTCCACGGAGAGAACTAGAGATCTTCACTAAAACAAATAGAGATTACAACAGAGAAGGAGACTCTCTCACTCAATTCACACACTCTCTACTATCTTACACTCATTGCTCTCTTCTCACCTTCATATAAATATACACTCACTTGTATATTCTACTACTCACTCACTTGTGTTCTCCCATGTATCTTCACCCTCTCATGTCTCTCCCTATATAAACACAAAATAGGAGAGGGAGAGTTCCTTGATAGCAAAGTGTGAGCTGGCCTTTGCACATGGCCAGCTCTTCTTCCTCCTTTCGGCGCATGTCTTTGCACATGGAGAAATGATCACCCCTCACATGGGGTGATATCCAACCTTGACCTAATAACCTTGAGGTTATGGGTTCAAGTCTCGGGCAACCACTTTGTGTACTATGTCAAGGGTTAGGTGTGAACCCAATCTTTGTCCTTCCAAGCGCATGTTAATGTGTATTAATTGGGCGTTGTTATTTTTTATTTTTTCAAATCTATTTATGGCTGGTGGTTACTAGATTATGGTTGCATTAGTGCATAGTATAAGAATGCGTATAAAAGGTCCCAGTTCTTTTGGTGGGGTTATTAGCGTCTCATCAGCATCCTATTGATATAAAATTCAATTGCATAGCTGATTGCATTCTTTTGTTGATGCAGTTCTACACATTTCTGGAAACAAGTGTTGTGACTTTATTATTACTGCCTCATTTTTTAGCATTCTTTAGTGATGGAGAGATACCTGGGACCCCAGGCACGCTGGCAACCACTTTTCTTGCCTTTGGTATGGTCTAATGAGGCTGTTTGTCCACTTTCCTTCCGCTCATCTTTGCTTGTTTTTTTATTTTTATTTAACTAAACTATACCTTCTGTATCCTCAGTGCTGAACCTGGCATTTGCATTGAGCGTGCTGGGTTTTCTGATTATGCACATATCATTGGTGGCTGGTAATACGACTACCATTGAGGTATTGCAGTCATATGTCCAATTGCAATGATACCATGAAAACATTTTATTTTCTCATAAATAGGGAAATACTCCCCAAAGAACTTCATCTGAGAGGGGTGCAGCATACATGGACTTTGTAGTTAATTGATTATTTCTCATCTTCAGGCATATGAAAAGAAGACAACTCCAAAATGGCGCTATGACCTTGGTCGAAAGAGGAATTTTGAACAGGTTGGTTTGCTATAGAACAGATTTCTGTTTTGATTTCTTCATTTAGTGGGACTTTGCAAGAAATCCACCATACACAATTCTCCCTTTTCTTAATTAAAATTAGCACAAATTTGTCAAATGGGCAATTTCAACAACTAAATGTTTAGGAGGATCTGAAGTAGTGCAGTACATTACGTGTATATCTCCTCAATGTGTATCGAAAAGCCTTGAGGAAGTAGTTTCCCGACAGTATCCCTGACCTTCCAAAGGATTGCCGGTGGTCTCTTTTTCTCATGGAAATTTTCCGAACAATGATTAATGTAAAATAGCACCATACAATAACTAAATTATCTGTGTTCCTATTAAGCATGTAGATATATACAGCTTATGAATACGGCAGAATAGGGAAATGACATGGCAAATTCTGGTAGTATAGGGGATAAAAACAGTGAGCAGAATGACTAAGACTCATGTCAAGGTATATACCATATGTATATGTTTTTAGAAAATTCATCATGTAATTTGTCTATCTTATTATACACATTTATTTACGACAAACAATCTTCATCGTAAATTTATCAACTATTCTAAGTTAGAACTTTTGATGATAAATTTACATGACAAGACTCAGGGTTGTGCTGAATGGATGTGGATTTGAGACCAAATTTGATACAATTCAGCCTTACTATATCAAATTTTTTTTATAAGAAGCAAGTTTTGAAACCCTCTTTTCGTCTTCCTAATAATTACAGTATAACTTTAATAGAGACACTGCATCCCTTGTCCAAGACATGTCGGGGCATATATTCAGGAATCCGAGAAGTAAATAATACATTTACCAATTTAAATTACAGATGTGTTTAGGAAGTTTCTGGCAATAATGCTTGGGTTTCTGAGTTTTCCATAAAGCTGTGTAGGTTTGGATCTTATATACTGTTCTGAAAGCATGACAGGAATTTTGGAGTTTACATTTTTGTATATGTAAACAAAAAACTATACACATTTACCAAACGTGACTGTCAATCAGGAGTTGGCAAACTTTATTTATTTTTTTATTGTAGTGGATTCCTATTTCCAGATCAGGTTGTTAATTACTCTTTAAAATGATACCTCATACTAATAAAAGAGAAGAAATTAATTGCAAATATTTATTTCATTGACTTTGGTGGTTAAAGTCCCTTATGATTTTACCAAAAAATGGAGTTGGAACCTGTTACTAAAGGAATTCCATGTTAGCTAGCAATTTAAAGCTTGTGATAAAAACATGATAACTTTTCAGTTGGGGGATCGTAGTAGAGAAGTTGCAGAATCAAAAGAAGCAGGCTCTGGATAAAGATTTTGGACAATCTTTCAAGCTCTAGATATTTTGGTCTTCCTTTTTCACAATAATGGCAAATAGAGGACCATATGAAGGATATAGATCCTTGCCAGCTTATTCAATATGAGATCAGGATATCATTGTAATCCACTATTTGAATTTAAAATTAATCGCCTTGATCCCATTTGTCTATTCATTCTCGTGACCTCCATTTCTTTCTGAGTATGGAAATTACATTCGTAGGCATTGCAAATCTTGTTTCCAGATTCTCTGCATCCTTTTGAGCTTTGTGGGCGTCACCTAGAAAATCTATCCTCTAACTTTACTCTTTTGGGTATGGAAATTACAATCTGGAATGCTTCTGCCCTCGTGTAATGTATACCAATTTTGAACAGGCGTCAAGTGATTTATTGCAACTACAAGGTGCTAAACGGATGAGATGAAGGCTAAAAGAAGTAATGCATTGTTATTTATAAAAAAAGAAAAGAAAAAGAAAGAAGTAATGCATTGATATTATAAAGAACCTGATTGCCTTGGATTTAACTTAAGAATAAGGCTTAACTTTCGGTAGGCTTGGCGTAGTGTAGGTTTGGATATTATGGGATCAAATTACGCTTTGTTTGTTTGGGTTGAAAACATTCTGCATTGTCTAGTGTTTGGTACGATGGAAAACAAAACTCAATCGACAATGTTGTGTTCAAAACAAGCTTATTTGGGTGCCGGACTAAGGCGTTACCAATGCCACCTCATTACCACTGCCACCACCTTGCCATCACCACCTCACCACCATCACTGCCTCCACCTCTACCTCCGCCTCCGCCACTGCCACTGCTACCGCCACCACCTCCACCTCACCACCACCTATACCAAATTAACGTTGAACAATCCATATGGAATGTCTGCATTCTCTTATTGTTATTATTATTGTTATTATTTTTTCATTTGTTAAATTTTTTAATGCATTTATAAGCCACACATGTCAAATATGCATTCACAACACTTTCCCCCAGAGTTTGTGTCTACCACTGCCATGTTGACCACCACCACGTCCACTAACACCACAACTAGCATATAAGTTTCAAAGTCCCAACCAAACATAGAAGAACTTTTTCTCCTGGAAAATGTGTTTTGCTTAAACAAATGGAGCATTAGTTGAGAACGATTCTTACAAACCTTGGGAAGCATATTCCTTGTATCACCTTGTGATATATCATCATCTAACAGTTTTCATTGTCTGAATGTGACCTATTAAATTAAAATCAGTGATTTGTGTTGGGCAATGCTTACAGTTTTCTGAATCACTATATGTTTTACATGGTCTATTCTAATCCATTGTGTGTGCAATGAGTTTGTGCCAAAGCTAATTTCAGATTAGCATACTGTTGAAATGTAAGGACTGAAGCTAGAGTGGTTATCAGCAGTTTGTCTGTACGTTAAAACTACATAAAGTCAAACTAATTTTCTTGTCCTTTGTAGGTTCTGATGCAATCCATTATTGATATATTGTATTCTTATGGTACCGTGGGATGTGTTTATTGAATTTGTTGAATATCTCTGGTTACTCTTTTTAAGTATAATTTTTTTTTTTTTTTTAGGTTTTTGGAATGGACAGGCAATATTGGTTAATCCCGTCTTATTCGGAAGAAGACTTGCGACGGATGCCTGCACTTCAGGGTCTTGAGTATCCATCAAAGCCTGACTTGGATGCTCAAGAGTTCTAAAGGATCATTCACATAACATCTAAAAACTCCCATTTTGTTTGTTGTAGCAGTAATTTCACGCCCAGATAAAGCGATCTTTACACTTAAATTGATCGACAGAATGTAACTGACACGGACTTGAATCAATCTATCACACTGGAACTTGCAGAAATAACAGCTCATTAGATGGAGAGATCAATGTACCCAATGGAGCCGCTCAGGCATAATGATATCGGGAGGCTGGGAGCGGTGGCGTTTGCTGATGCACAAAAATTTCATGCTGAGGTAGGAGGTTTAATGTATTTCATTAGAAATGTAAAATTAATGCAAACTTGGCCACGCTGTGTCTATGGTTGTGATATCATCTTTGAAAATCAATTTAATACAAGCAAAATGTTACTCAGATTAGAGTTATGTACAAGTTAGAATGTTGGACCCTGTGAATTAGCATTGTTGTTTTGTTGAAGATCTAGGGTTCTCACTTTTCTTGTTTCATTTGAGTTGGAGTAATATTTATGTAGTTTGTTGATCACATCCATGCTACGAATGCAGTTATTCCGGGCTGTTTGATTTATTGTGATCTACTTATTGCCCTTGTGGTTTTGGGAAATTATTGGGTAGTCCCGGAACTCTACATCATCAGCATTAGGTGGTGCAGCATCTCATCTCACTGTCTGAGGCATGAGTCACAAAAGTTGACTTTGAGTCACGGCAAAAATGGTACCCACCACCACCACCATCATAACAATCCCCCAAGATCCTCAACTATTTTAGGCTCCCACCATTGGTGGTCTTGTGATTAGGAGAAGTGCCAAAGATGATCTAAAACTCGTATTTAGTTTTATCAATGGCTGTTCAAGAGTTTTCCATGGAGAGGCCCTTTTACCAAATTTTGAGTTTCGGCAAGTTCATTAAAAGTCAACTTTTTAATTTTTTGATTTTTTTAGGTTATATCACTTTTTTATTTTTTATATATATATATTTAAAAAAAAAATTAAAAAGTTAATTTTTAACTTATTTTTCAAAACAATAATGCCTTGATACGAGTGCAAAAGAAAAATATTAAGGGTTTGTTTGGAAAGAATTTTTTTAGTTTAATCTTTTAAATTTTTTGTTAATTTAACCTAGCTAAGTCATTGTTTGGGAAGTGAGTTTGGGGCTAAAATAGTTACAATAAACAAAATAGACTTTTTAGTTCCAATAAGAAAACACATCACATTTAACTCATAATTATTATATTCTTTCTCTCACAAAAAAAAAAATCAAAAAAGTCAAAAATCCTTTCAAAATTAGGCTTTTTAGCCCCATGATAAAATAGCCAAAAAAGCTAAAAAGTCAAAAAGCCAATCCGCTTCCCAAACCAAGTCTAAATTAGTTTTGTTTGTGATTTTTTTTTTGACTTTTTTGTTTTTTTGTAAAATAAAAAGTGAAATGATTATGGTTTGAATATGACATTTTACTTTATTGACTTATTTAGGGATGTTTTGGGAAGGTTAAAAGTTGATTTTTTTATTTTATTTTAATTTTAACCAAGCTTTTTGGCTTTTTTTGAAAGTCATTTGAGAAGTTGATAAAAAATTATTTTTTGACTTTTTTTTTTACTTAATATTTGTTTATGCTGTTACAACATAATCAAATGACCAAAATGTCCTCATCGATTTTAGAAAATAACCACTTTCACCCATGTGGCTCATTTAAACAATATGGAGGGTATAATTATAATTTTACATATACTTTTAGCTACCTTCCCAAATGATTTGATGACAGCCCAAGCTGCAAAATGCATCTTTTTTTCTTTTATTCTCAAATGACACCTTAGTCTATTTTATCTTTATGTATTTTTTTTAATCCTAACCCAAACCAAAGTCTCTTACCAAACAAGACTGAATACGGTAGAGCTTTTAGGCTGTGTTTGGAGAAATTTTCTAAATACATTTCCATTCACTGATTTGAGTGTGGTATTTGTTTTGAGTTTTCAAATTATAATTCCACGCCCATTTTTGAAAACTTCTTTCCAGGAAAATTTTTTTGACTAACCTGGTTGTCCTCCCTAATGTCTCCCAGATGTCAGGCCGGTTGACTGGGATAATGTTCAATTTTTTTTTTTAATATTTTAAATAAAAAATATTTCAAGAATTTTTTTTTAAATTTTTTTTATGAGCTTTGAATAGGATTTTGAGTTGTGTGTTTAGTTATGTGTTGTAAGTTTTTGAATTAAATATCATATGTCACATTTTTCATTTCAAACTCAATTCAAAACTCTTTTCAAAACTCATAACCAAACTAATTTTCCACATTCAAATCATAATTTCAAAACTCATAAACTTAAAATACAACTCTATTCTCAAATCATATTTAGAAAACTCTATCAAATGCTATCTTATTTTTTCCAGACCAGGTTCTCATGTAGGCTTTCATATAGCTTTCTTTTCTGATTTGACTTGCATTTAACACCCCAAATTTCTAGCCCAAATGATACGACAACAATCATGGCTCTTTCAAGGAAAACCGAATATAAATCTCAAAACTTACATTACATGATACAATAGTTCTTCATGCAACAATATATTGATCCAATAACAAGTAAATAAACAAATAAATACCCCCAAGGGTTTACGAGTTTCCAAGGCTTGAGCTTGGTTACGCAAAATGGTTATTCAAACCCACACAAACACAACACTTGGCTTATACACAGAGTCATAGCAAAATGAGAGTATTGTACTCCCAACACACATACTTCCACGCCCCTAGTTGGGTGGGATCACCACATCTTTTCTTGTACAAAAATCCTGTAGAGTGAACACAAAGCCCAGTAGGAAATTTTTAACAAAGTATATACATTTTATACAAGTCTCAAGAGATGAAATGCACATGCCATGCTATGCCCTTTTTGAAGATAAATCACAATTTTCATCTTTTGAAAACCATCATGCTCAATGATATCATGCAATTTCAATTGTTCAAAACTTAACAATTTATTTCAAGGGCGGTAAATACGACTCTGGTAATCCCTAGGTCGGTGTTTGCAAGTAGACTATACAAGTACTACCAATTTGTCATTTTTACAGGTATTAACTGGAAGGCTCGACACCTATCCGTACGGGTTTTCGGTCTTTCACCCCGGACTCTCAGACCAACTTATTCAATATCATCTACACTACTTATCAAAACTTACCAACGTATTTACCCCAAAACCATTCCATGAAAACTTGTTTATCGACATTCTTTTCTCAATGCAAGTTTTCAAATCAACTTTAAAAGTTTAATGTAATCAAATGAATTGATATGCCAATAACACAAGATGAATATAAATACTTTTATTCCAATTCATAATCCAAGCAATAACACAATTCCCTCTTCTCAAGTATCCTCAACAATTAGTCATTTCAAGACTATCTCAACGTTTTGAACAACAATTTCCAAAATGAACAACAATTTTCATATTCCCTGAAATTCATCATTTATATAAATATAAATAAGAAAATTTTCAAACATCCATTTATTTTGACATACAAAATAAATATAACAATATCATTCATGGATTTTCAGTCTCTTTTAAAAAAAATCTCCAAATTCTAGGTTTTCTCACCAAAACTATACAACTCAAATTTTTTGAAAGAAAACTTTCCAAAATTATCTTTTTTTCAATCAACAAAGATCAAAACCTATAATATCATTTTAAAAGAACAAAAGACAAACTCACTTTCAAAATCGCTCAACTTCTTGAATCAATAATCAATTTTCAAAGCTATCGAAAGATGATTTCGAAAATCATATAGATCATGCAAATATATATATATATATATAACTCTAAGAAAATCTCTATCTCAAGTTTTGAAGAAGAAATGTGATGAAACTCCCAAAATCAACGGTGTCGAAACTCAATCTTCATCGCACACAACGAAGCCCTTGAGAAGTTAACCAATTTTGATGAAGAACTTATGGCAGAACTCTAATGGATATTGAGAAATCAAGGTTTTGATCCAATTTGGCGTAGGGAAATGTAGAGAGAAGGGAGAGGAAAAGGGTTTTTAGAGAGAGAGAGATATACAAAAGTGATATGAAATATCAGATTCACGAACTGATATAACATGGTCCGCTCGAGCGTGGAAAGCCCTGCTTGAGAGTCAAATACACTTTCCTAGTACTTTTGCAAATAGGTCAAACTTCTAAGACCAAACATACTCCGCTCGAGCGCAAAAACGGCCGCTCGAGCGGACAAGCAACTTCTAATGTATTTTACATTTTTGCTTCAGGGGCACTGCCTCTTAACCCTACCAGGGCGCTGCCCTAGGACCCACCAAGGGGCGCTGCCCCCTGGACCCCTGCGAGTTGATCGGGTAGCTCGATCCCCGCCAAGGGCACTGTCCCTTGGACCCCCGCGAGCTAACCGGGCAGCTCCATCCCCAACATACTCAGCGAAGTGGCAAAACTAGGATCGCTACAACCTTCCCCCCTTAAAGAATTTTGTCCCCGAAATTTCAAATCAAACTACCCAAACAAAGGGTTTCTAGCGATCAAAACCACGCTATTTCATTTTCAAATCACAATATTAACTCTCAACCAAATTTCATCATTTCCACCATGGTTGTCTTATTAACAACAACCTCTTAAATACGCATAAACATGAAATTTTTCAAAAAGTAATAGTAACTCTAAACAACCTTATGCTTAAAACAACAACGCACATATCAATATGTGGTTAACAACTTTAAATACGTCTCCCTCAACAATAGGGAATTTACAAAGAAAAGCAACTTAAGTATTTTCAAATAAATCCAGATATTTGGAGCGAACTTCCGCCTCCCGTTCCCACGTCGCTTCTTCAACCCCATGGTGTCTCCACAACACCTTTACCTATGGTATAGTTTTGCCCCGTAGCACTTGCTTCCGGGTATCTAATATTTGAACCGGTCATTCTTCGTAAGAGGCATCCTCATCTACCTCCAAGTCAACCCAATCAAGAACATGAGAAGGATCGGGTTCATATTTCCTAAGCATTGATACATGAAATACATTGTGAACTCTCGAAAGTTGTGGCGGTAAAGCTAACCGGTATGCCATTTCCCCAATTCGCTCTAAGATCTCAAAAGGCCCAATGAACCTTGGAGATAATTTACCACTCTACCAAATCTCATGAAACCCCACCTTGGTGAGA